ATCACTATTCTTTTCATAGCTTAATGAAGACTAAAAATTGGTAGATGACCGTTCCTTTCATGTACATTGAAAACTAGTTTATTGTTTAAATAAATCACTAGAGCAGCGAGTTAAGAACATGCTTTGATGGCGCACAAACTCTTATGAGGAGTAAACTAATCAACCGAGAACCTACCCAAACCTGTTATAGCGTTTCTTCGTCTTGCCAGTTTCTGAAGTACAAGTTGAAGGCGCTGCTATAAAGGAAAGCCATGTCAATGCAAACGATTAACGGCTTTGATTGCTCAAAGGCATTTACGCTTTCTTTGATTGGTTATCCTTCCAACTGTGATAAAAAGCTGTACGCGATTCTTATTGACCGTATAAGCTCTTCTCATGCCTAATTTCATGTTATGGAGGACGTTGATAAGCTACGACGAAATTTCTTTCTCTTTCTACACTTGAGTGCAGTCCCCAAGAAATCAACTGTAGGGAAATTAACCTACAGTAGACATTTTCAGCGAGTTGTAATAATAGCGACAAAGTCTGAAAAAGTGCTAATTCATTTTAAAAGTGACCTTTTCGTTGCCGTCGCCATCTTCACGGTGTAGTAGTGCAAGGACGGTAAGGAAATGTATATTAATGAGTGACGTACGTGCAAAGTTGATGTCTTGCGTAATAAAATTAAACCCGTATTGCTTCCTCGTTGCTGTCGCCGTCGTCGTTGCTGGGAGCTTTAGCAATGAACGACGGCGACGGCAACCAGGACGTCAAAAAGGCAAGAGGTTTATTACGCAAAACAACAACTTTGCATGTGCATCACGCTTTTTTGTACATTTCTTTACCGTCCTTGCACGACTACGACGTGAAAATGCCTAATTACAAGTTTATGGAGGAAGTAAACAAGCGACGACGAATCTCTTTTTCTCTCTCTAAACTTGAGTACAGTCCTCAAGAAATCAACTCCAGGGAAATTCGCCTACACTTGCCATTTTCAGCAAATTAGAATAAACGCGACGAAGATTGGAAAAATGGGAATTCATTTTAAAACTGACGTTTTCGCTGCCGTTGCCGTCGTCGATGCTAAAGCTCCCTGTGCGGCGCGAATTCTAACCGAACCTCGGTTTTGGCATACCCCTCATAACCCAATATCACAATGAAAAATAATCAATAAAAATTCTTATTTGAAACTATAAGGCACACAAGTACATGATTTTTGTTGCTGCTATTTTTGTTTATTTTTTTTCCTCACGTGGAGGACTAAATCCTTCAACCATAGGGAAAGCCAATACGGTATCATCAGTCAAGTTATGTAATGCAGTTACAGCATGCTGAAACTGCCAGAGACCTCAGTCCTGTAACATTATTACAGCTTAAAACTATAGTGGTGGTTTTTTAAGCAAATAGAGCATGTTTATTTGGAAGCACTTTTTAACATTTTCTTCTTTTCGTAAACACTTTTGTCTTTATTGTTTAGTGACTAGTTACAGAAACATTGCTTAATATTGAAGCAAAAATATTAAGGGCACTTTAAAGGAAAAGTGGCATGGTCACTCTGGATAACAAATCTGAAAATGGCTTATTCTTTCTTGAAAAAAAAAAGGGGGATTATTGCGAGTAAAAACTTGCAAGAGGTGACAGGCAGCACATCTTCACCGGCGTTAAACCTTTGAAAACCTTTTACATATTGCTCCATTGCCGGAGACCTCTTTCAGGGATCTTACAGTTTAAAATTTGAACCATGATATAGCTTATATATAGCGGACCAAGATACAGCTCGGTACAGTTTATGTTCAGCAAGGGAAAATTGTGTAAGTTGAACAGAACCTATAAAATGTATAACAGACAATTTGTTCAGTTCGCGCGTATTGATTTGGTAAGCGTTTATATATCCACCCTGGTTTGTTTGGAGGTTCGAAAATTGTTCGGTTTGATTGGTTCTTTGCAAAAAACCAATCAGGTTGCTATAGGTTCGATCCGTGTTTTCTGGAAGCTAGGTTGTGTTTTTATAAAGGTTTACCGCACCATTTTCGATCCTCCAAACAAACCAGGGTGGATATATAAACGCTTACCAGATCAAGCAATACCGAATGGTTCAGAGTTCACCTCAACCATCCCACCACATAGCAACTGATGAGAAACGTAAGATTCGAAACCGCCGGTCTTGCTTGTAAACTTATATTTCACTGCAAACATTATGTAGGGGCACAAAGAAGCCAGTCAATTGATTGGTAAAAAAAACAACATGCTAATGGCTTGAAAAATATCGAGCTTTAAAACTTGACTCTCCTCTGATGTTAAAACTACAAGAGACATTTACAAAGCGATTGAGTTTTAAAACGACATTCAAAGGACACAGCATCATAATGTATTTAAATCATGCTTCTACTAAAGCCGTGATAAATACACAAAACCAGTGTTAGATCTGAATATATTTACAGGCTACGTGCTGTGTACAGCTGAACATTGTTCTCTGAGATCGCCTAAACCTAAACTTTACGGATATATTAAAAGCAGATACCCTAAGATAACAGCAGCTATGGAATAATTATTATATTTTTGAGTAGACAAATCTCCTAAACGGGCCACAAATTCAACAGGAATACGCGCGAACTGAACAAATTGTCTGTTGTACATTTTATCCCTTGCTGAACATAAACTGTACCGAGCTGTATCTTGGTCCGTTATATATAAGTTATATCTTGGTTCACATTTTAAACTGTAACATCCCTGAAAGAGTTCTCCTCAATGGAGCAATATGTAAAAGGTTTTCAAAAGTTTAACGCCGGTGAAGATGAGCGGTCTTTCACCTCTTGCAAGATTTTACAGTGATGTGTAGTGATGGGTAGTGATGTATGGTGCTGGGTAGTGATGGACAGTGATGCGTAGTGATGGTTAGTGATGTGTACTGATGGATAGTGATGTGTAGCGCTGAATAGTGATGGATAGTGATGTGTAGTGATGGATAGCGATGTGTAGTGATGGATAGTGATGTGTAGTGATGGATAGTGATGTAAAGTGATGAACAGTGATGTGTAGTGATGGATAGTGATGTGTAGTGATGGACAGTGACGTGTAGTGATGGATAGTGATGTGAAGTGACGGATAGTGATGTGTAGTAATGGACAGTGATGTGAAGTGATGTTTAGTGATGTATAGTGATGGACAGCGATGTGTAGTGATGGATAGTGATGTGTAGTGATGGACAGTGATGTGTAGTGATGGACAGTGATGGATAGTGATGTATAGTGATAGATAGTGATGTGTAGTGATGGATAGTGATGTGTAGTGATGGACAGTGATGTGTAGTGATGGATAGTGATGTGTAGTAATGGACAGTGATGTGAAGTGATGTTTAGTGATGTGTAGTGACGGACAGTGATGTGTAGTGATGGATAGTGATGGACAGTGATGTGTAGTGATGGACAGTGACGTGTAGTGATGGACAGTGACGTGTAGTGATGGACAGTGATGTGTAGTGATGGACAGTGATGTGTAGTGATGGACAGTGATGTGTAGTGATGCATAACGATGTATAGTGATAGATAGTGATGTGTAGTGATGGATAGTGATGTGTAGTGATGGACAGTGATGTTTAGTGATGTTTAGTGATGGACAGTGATGTGTAGTGATGGACAGTGATGTGTAGTGATGGACAGTGATGTGTAGTGATGGGTAGTGATGTGTAGTAATGGACAGTGATGTGTAGTGATGGACAGTGATGTATAGTGATGGATAGTGATGTGTAGCAATGGACAGTGATGTGAAGTGATGGGTAGTGATGTGTAGTGATGGACAGTAATGTGTAGTGATGGATAGTAATGTACAGTGATGGACAGTGATGTGTAGTGATGGATAATGATGTGTAGTAATGGACAGTGATGTGAAGTGATGGATAGTGATGGATAGTGATGTGTAGTGATGGACAGTGATGTGTAGTGATGGACAGTGATGTGAAGTGATGGATAGTGATGTGTAGTGATGGACAGTGATGTGTAGTGATGGATAGTAATGTGTAGTGATGGACAGTGATTTGTAGTGATGGACAGTGATGTGTAGTGATGGATAGTGATGTGCAGTGATGGACAGTGATGTTTAGTGATGTGTAGTGATGGACAGTGATGTGTAGTGATGGATAATGATGTGTAGTAATGGACAGTGATGTGAAGTGATTTGTAGTGATGGACAGTGATGTGTTGTGATGGACAGTGATGTGTAGTGATGGACAGTGATGTGTAGTGATGGATAGTGATGTGTAGTGATGGACAGTGATGTGTAGTGATGGACAGTGATGTGTAGTGATGGATAGTGATGTGTAGTGATGGGTAGTGATGTGTAGTGATAGGTAGTGATGGATAGTGATGGGTAATGATGGATAGTGATGTGTAGTGATGGATAGTGATGGGTAATGATGGATAGTGATGGGTAGTGATGGATAGTGATGGGTAGGGATGTGTAATGATGGGTGGTGATGTGTAATGATGGATAGTGGTGGGTAATCATGGACAGTGATGTGTAGTGATGGATACTGATGGGTAGTGATGTGTAGTGATGGGTAGTTATGGATAGTGATGGATAGTGATGTGTAATGATGGATAGTGATGGGTAGTGATGGATAGTGATGGGTAGTGATGGATAGTGATGGGTAGTCATGTGTAGTGATGGGTAGTGATGTGTAATGATGGGTAGTGATGTGTAGTGATGGGTAGTGATGAGTAGTAATCTGTAGTAATATGTAGCGATGTGTAGTGATATTTAGTGCTATGTAGTGATGTGTAGTGATGGACAGTGATAGGTGGTGATGGGTAGTGATGCATAGTTATGTTGAGTGACACATAGTTACATGTTACATGAAGATATGTTAAGCGGATTTTTTATATTCGTGTAGGAGAACACGGATTTATTACCAAAAAACTATTCCCGAGTACAGTTCAACCCTCATTCGCCGAGAAGCCCTGGGGACGAGCTCAGCCTCAGCTACTAAAAAAATGGTGCGAAAATTTCACACCATTTGCCATCGAAGAAAAAATTGCCGTACAAATGCCTAAAAACATAGCTAGAAGAGCAAAAATACAACTCGACGAATGACAACTGCTATTTTAAGAATATCTGGTAGACTAATCATCCCTTAAATACAAGGTAAATCAACGTCTGAATAATTTCATACAGGCACATGTAATTCAGATAGGTCATTTTTAGCATAGACCATGAGAACTTGTTTAGTTAATTGCTCAGTACGTTTTACCTAACTTAACTCACAGCTGTACCTACTGAAATTACAATTGCAGCTTTGTCGTCATTATTAGAAGCTGTTATATACATAATTATTATTTTTTTTTATTTCATTTGACAGTCATATTCTTTGTTTCGCCAAACCATAGCATCGTGATAATACAGAATTTCAATTAGATATAGGGTGAAAAGTAAGTAAGAAATAATTTAACAAAGGAAAGAAAACGTACGATACAAAATTAAAGGACTTACATGTAAGTTAAATCACATTGTATATACTAAGAAGGAGAGGAGAAACGCACGTCCGCTTAAAGTTACGTATGACAAAAAACTTGTAATTTTTAATAAAAAAGATAATTATTCCTCGGTCAAATAACGTTTAAGTTTTACTGTTTGACTCTTTAGGAGTTTTATTTGTTTTCGGCTTATGGAAGTCCTGCCTGTTGTTTTAAGATTCAAATACTGGGTTTGATGGAAGATCATCGTTGCAGTTGGGAAAAAAGCAGGGACCGAAAACTGCATTTTTTGCAAATTTTCCTTGCCCACTAGTTTTTTGTTTGTTGCTTCCACGTTCTAGCTACTTTCTTGGCAGCATTATCTGCCCCTGAATATTGAGGAGCAATCTGCTCGTAGGATCTGTAGCTCTTCTTGGTCTTTCCTGAAGGCAAAAACGCAAATGAACTTTGCTGAAATCGATATATCAACCAATTTCAGTGATAACTGAAGTTAAGTTTTCTCCATATGTTTTACATAACATGTTATGTAGTTTCTTCAACTGCCTCGATCTCGGAATTTTTTAGCGGCAGTATCTGCTCCTGAATGTCTCAAGTGAATCCTTGATCTTAATATAAAATCGCAAATGAACCACCAATTTCATTGATGACCGTTATCTAAGTTTTTCTCATAGTAGTATTTTTGTTCCAAATGCTAAGCAGTAATGAAATGACGGTTTTACACCAAAATGTTGCTGATACACAGGTTGCACGTTTAGAGGTCATTAAGTTCGGATATCACATGTGATAACGGAGGGCCAAATATCGGTCGACGCTAATTGCTGTCATTGTTTCTAGGGAAACACAGCAGAGTTGAATAATGAGGAAGATCATTGCTTGTGACAGACGTGGGTAAGAACTGCTCCGAGAAAGCGGTGTAAGGGCGATGGCAATGTTAACTGGAGGAGCAAGAATCCCAACAAAGAGATCAGAAACAGCAGGACTGCACAGCAAAATGGTAGACGGAGTGCATAGGGAAGGATTTCTCCATACGGTGGCTAGTACCAAAACATTGCCAGTGATGCATATTGGTATCAGTAGAGCATTGAGGACACTATTCGTTATGATTACAGAGGTCTCGAAAGGTGAGGATATCTTTGTCACTCTCCAACCCACCAGGCATCATATCAACAGTAGAGTTTGCCATCTCAAATTTTTCAATTCTGTCCCCTGTTTCTCTTCAAAGAAAAACTGCATATTATTTTTTATACTCTTTCACCTGGCATCTTATTAAAATTACAACCATCTTGCCAGCATTTAATTCTTTAACTTATGTCTAATAGGGCTTTTCATTTAGGAGAAGTTATACTTGATCATCTTTTAAAATGGAATTAATGATGAACGGTACCAATTAAGTCAG